GCCTTTGTTAGTCTTGTATCATTTTTAATTTTAGTTTCTTGTGTATAATTTGGAGTTTAGTATGACGTCCATTATCACTGAACTAGTATACATATTTGTTTAGGGGCCAGCTGAAGGACGCCTCCGGGTGCGGGAGTTTCTCGCTGCATTGAAGACCCATTGGTGGCCTTCGGCTGTTGTCTGCTCTATGGTCGGGTTGTTGTCTCTTTGACACATTCCCCATTTCCATTCTCAATTTTATCCATTATGTTCTGAAGACAAAGTCAATCAAAATGTCACAAAACTAACTCCATTATGTTCTGAAGACAAAGTCAATCAAAATGTCTCAAAACTTACTCCATTATATTCTGAAGACAAAGTAAATCAAAATGTCACAAAACTAACTCCATTATGTTCTGAAGACAAAGTCAATCAAAATGTTACAAAACTAACTCCATTATGTTCTGAAGACAAAGTCAATCAAAATGTCACAAAACTAACTCCATTATGTTCTGAAGACAGAGTAAATCAAAATGTCACAAAACTAACTCCATTATGTTCTGAAGACAAAGTCAATCAAAATGTCACAAAACTAACTCCATTATGTTCTGAAGACAAAGTCAATCAAAATGTCTCAAAATTAACTCCATTATATTCTGAAGACAAAGTCAATCAAAATGTCTCAAAATTAACTCCATTATATTCTGAAGACAAAGTCAATCAAAATGTATCAAAACTAACTCCATTATATTCTGAAGACAAAGTCAATCAAAAGGTCACAAAACTAACTCCATTATATTCTGAAGACAAAGTCAATCAAAATGTCACAAAACTAACTCCATTATGTTCTGAAGACAAAGTCAATCAAAATGTCACAAAACTTACTCCATTATGTTCTGAAGACAAAGTCAATCAAAATGTCTCAAAACTAACTCCATTATATTCTGAAGACAAAGTCAATCAAAATGTCTCAAAACTAACTCCATTATATTCTGAAGACAAAGTCAATCAAAATGTCTCAAAACTAACTCCATTATATTCTGAAGACAAAGTCAATCAAAATGTCACAAAACTAACTCCATTTTTAGATGGTGACGTTCCCTTGTCACCATCTTATGGTGTTTATATGTCTCAACTTGTACGATTCGCTCGCGTATGTAACAACGTATTAGATTTTAGTGAGCGAAATTTATGTATTTCTGAAAAATTATTACACCAGGGTTTTCAATATCATAAACTAGTCAAAACATTTACTAAATGTTATCATCGGTATAAGGACATAATTCGTAAATATTACTCAACATGCAGACATCTTATACGTTCGGGTATTTCACATCCAATCTTTTATGGTAATATTCTTTACAAAGCACAAAAATGTCAGTATTCACCTCAAAAGCTAACAAAACCTTTAAACAGACTTATTAAGAAGGGATATAGTTACAATACTGTTGTCAGGTCATTAAAGATTGCATATTTTGGCTTTAATATTGATTCACTTATAGGGTCTTTGCATCGGAATTAAACATATTTATTCTAAAACCAGTTGCTGGCATGACACGGGTTATGTTCTTCTCATATATTTTATGATGGTATAATACTAAACCCCTAACAGGAGGGATTGTGCCTGATATTCATATGATGAAGACATAATCTTTCAATGATTTTAATTGAGGTCTGGAGCTGGCATGTCAGTAACTGCTAGTAGTCTGTTGTTATTTATGTATTATTGTCATTTTGTTTATTTTTTCTTTTGTTTCCTATTCTGACATCGGACTCAGACTTCTCTTAAACTGAGTTTTACTGTGCGTACTGTTGTGCGTTTGTTTTTTCTACATTGGCTAGAGGTATAGGGGGAGGGTTGAGATCTCAAAAAACATGTTTAACCCCGCCGCATTTTTGCGCCTGTCCCAAGTCAGGAGCCTCTAGCCTTTGTTAGTCTTGTATCATTTTTAATTTTAGTTTCTTGTGTATAATTTGGAGTTTAGTATGACGTCCATTATCACTGAACTAGTATACATATTTGTTTAGGGGCCAGCTGAAGGACGCCTCCGGGTGCGGGAGTTTCTCGCTGCATTGAAGACCCATTGGTGGCCTTCGGCTGTTGTCTGCTCTATGGTCGGGTTGTTGTCTCTTTGACACATTCCCCATTTCCATTCTCAATTTTATCCATTATGTTCTGAAGACAAAGTCAATCAAAATGTCACGAAACTATCTCCATTATGTTCTGAAGACAAAGTCAATCAAAATGTCTCAAAACTTACTCCCATTATGTTTGAAGACAAAGTAAATCAAAATGTCACAAAACTAACTCCATTATGTTCGAAGACAAAGTAAATTAAAATGTCACAAAAATAACTCCATTATGTTCTGAAGATAAAGTAAATTCACACATTACTATGGTAATAGATATACAGCCTTTAGGTTTCATCGGGTCATTTCTAAACTCTGTTTTAAAATAGACTCTACAAAAAACCTTGTTTTCAAGCACGAGACATTTGATTTATTTAAAAAAAAAAAATTTGGGGGTATTTTAGAATTAAAAAAAATTTTCTATAAAAGTTTCAACAAACCATGGTACATATCATCAATCATTTTGATGTTTATATTATTTTCTTTAGGAGCCTCACATTTCTTAAGAGACCAAAAATGAAGTGAACTCGACTTTTTTTCATTTTTTTCCCCTGAAAAATAATTGCAGTCTTTAAGGTATTGAAGATATTGCTCATACCATAATGTGATAAACAGCCTTCTTCATCCTGTAAATCAAACAAATATTGCTCATACTATAATGTGATAAACAGCCTTCTTCATACTGTAAATCAAACAAATATTGCTCATAACATAATGTGATAAACAGCCTTCTTCATCCTGTAAATCAAACAGATATTGCCCATACCATAACGCGACAAACAGCCTTCTTCATCCTGTAAATCAAACAAATAACAAATATTGCTCATACCATAATGTGATAAACAGCCTTCTTCATACTGTAAATCAAACAAATATTGCTCATACCATAATGCGATAAACAGCCTTCTTCATCCTGTAAATCAAACAAATATTGCTCATACCATAATGCGATAAACAGCCTTCTTCATCCTGTAAATCAAACAAATATTGCCCATACCATAACGCGATAAACAGCCTTCTTCATCCTGTAAATCAAATAAACAGCCTTCTTCATCCTGTATATCAAACAAATATTGCTCATACCATAACGCGATAAATAGCCTTCTTCATCCTGTAAATCAAACAAATATTGCTCATACCATAATGCGATAAACAGCCTTCTTCATCCTGTAAATCAAACAAATATTGCTCATACCATAATGTGATAAACAGCCTTCTTCATCCTGTAAATCAAACAAATATTGCTCATACCATAATGTGATAAACAGCCTTCTTCATCCTGTAAATCAAACAAATATTGCTCATACCATAACGTGATAAACAGCCTTCTTCATCCTGTAAATCAAACAAATATTGCTCATACCATAACGTGATAAACAGCCTTCTTCATCCTGTAAATCAAACAAATATTGCTCATACCATAACGTGATAAACAGCCTTCTTCATCCTGTAAATCAAACAAATATTGCTCATACCATAACGCGATAAACAGCCTTCTTCATCCTGTAAATCAAACAAATATTGCCCATACCATAATGCGATAAACAGCCTTCTTCATCCTGTAAATCAAACAAATATTGCTCATACCATAATGCGATAAACAGCCTTCTTCATCCTGTAAATCAAACAAATATTGCCCATACCATAACGCGATAAACAGCCTTCTTCATCCTGTAAATCAAACAAATATTGCCCATACCATAATGTGATAAACAGCCTTCTTCATCCTGTAAATCAAACAAATATTGTCTACTTCATCCTGTAAATCAAACAAACATTGCTCATACCATAACACGATAAACAGCCTTCTTCATACTGTAAATCAAACAAATATTGCTCATACCATAATGTGATAAACAGCCTTCTTCATCCTGTAAATCAAACAAATTTTGCCCATACCATAACGCGATAAACAGCCTTCTTCATCCTGTATATCAAACAAATATTGCCTACTTCATCCTGTAAATCAAACAAATATTGCTCATACCATAACGCGATAAACAGCCTTCTTCATCCTGTAAATCAAACAAATATTGCTCATACCATAATGTGATAAACAGCTTTCTTCATCCTGTAAATCAAACAAATATTGCTCATACCATAACGCGATAAACAGCCTTTTTCATCCTGTAAATCAAACAAATATTGCTCATACCATAATGTGATAAACAGCCTTCTTCATCCTGTAAATCAAACAAATATTGCTCATACCATATCGCGATAAACAGCCTTCTTCATACTGTAAATCAAACAAATATTGCTCATCAAAATAATATACAAATGTTTACCCAAGGTCCAGTATAGACAGGTTTCACTATATATATACAAATGTTTACCCAGGGTCCAGTATAGACAGGTTCGCAATAAATAAACAAATGTTTACCCAGGGTCCAGTATAGACAGGTTTCACTATATATACAAATGTTTACCCATTTTCCAGTATAGACAGGTTTCACAATAAATATACAAATGTTTAGCCAGGGTCCAGTATAGACAGGTTACACTATAAATATACAAATGTTTACCCAGGGTCAAGTATAGACAGGTTTCACTATAAATATACAAATGTTTACCTAGGGTCCAGTATAGACAAGTCTCACTATAAATATACAAATGTTTAGCCAGGGTCCAGTATAGACAGGTTTCACTTTAAATATACAAGTCCAGTATAGACAAGTCTCACTATAAATATACAAATGTTTGGCCAGGGTCCAGTATAGACAAGTCTCACTATAAATATACAAATGTTTACCCAGGGTCCAGTATAGACAGGTTTCACTATAAATATACAAATGTTTACCCACAGTATAGACAGGTTTCACTATAAATATACAAATGTTTAGCCAGGGTCGAGCATAGACAGGTCTCACTATAAATATACAAATGTTTACCTATCAGGTGGTCTCTCATCACCAAAAAACAATGACAGTTCTTCCAGTAAATGTGGCTGCATTTTTAACATGGGTTCTAATGCTTCTCTCAGCTCTTTTACATTTCTCGTCTCACTTTGTGACCAGCGAGAAAATATCTTCATCACTTTCTGGTAGTGTGAGGGGTGCCTGGCTAAATACACCTATAAAACATATATGCATATCACACCATCAATACAATAACCTCAAGAATAAGGCAAGAGGATGACACTGTCACACATGAAAAGTTTCCAAAGTTCAACTTTGTACTTATCATATCAATTGCCTTTTAAACACTTTTTTTTTATCTTTAAAAAAATAAGATGTGGTATGATAGCTAAGGAGACAACTGTCCACCAGACCTGATGACAAAGAAGTAGCATTTTTCTCCATAATTATTAAATCAGATATTCTTTACACATCATTATGACTAGAACTCTATAAATGAATGACAAGCGTTGGTGGAATCTGTAAATATACTGCTGTAACCTTGACTAATATGTGTTATGTTCAATTTCGTCTAAGCCATAAGGCGTTTAATAATCCTGTTTTTTTTTGTTTTTTTTATAAAATGAATAAACTAGATATATATCCATATTTTCAAGATTTATTTTCCAAAATAACTATCAAATATAACTTTAGTCAAGATACTGTTGGCATAATACTGTATGTATAAGAAGAATGATATACTAGAAATCCACTTTTTATTAAGGTATTATTGAATAAATAACTTTATTATATACTTAGTAGTTAATACAGTTAAATTGTATGTGTAATACAATCATTGGCAAGCGTGCTGTATCAGCCACCCGTGATGATATCGATATCAGCACGGTTGCAAAGGCTTTATCACACCTTTAATCTATATGACGTCACGTCATTGATTGCAGTCACTGTTGCAAAGGCTTTATCAAACCCCTAATCTGTATGACGTCATGTCAAACCTCTTATCTGTATGACGTCATTCCAACCCCCCTTATCTCTATGACGTCATGTCACATTAAACACATCTACGTGAGGTATATGTATATAATAAAGTGTATATGATATGGCTTTTTCAATATCACACACCGTATCCACCCTCAACCAATATAATCCCTCGAGCAGAGCTCTTGGGATTATATTGCTGTCTCGGGTTGATACAGGTGTGATATTGAAAAAGCCATATGATATTCTCTATTAATCTTCCTGCAAACTGTTTACAACCTTGTTAGTTAGCATGTTCACAATCATGCTCATAATAATTACAAATAAAATTCAGAATGGAAATGGGGAATGTGTCAAAGAGACAACAACCCGACCAAAGAGCAGAAAACAGCCAAAGGCCACCAATGGGTCTTCAATACAGCGAGAAAATCCCGTACCCGGAGGTGGGCTTCAGCTGGCCCCTTAACAAAAATGTGCACTAGTTCAATGAAATGGACGCAACATCAAACTCCAAAACATATAAATGAACTAACATAAAAAAACATACAAGTCTACCAAAGGCTTGAGGCTCCTGACTTGCGACAGGTGCAAACATGAGGCGGAGTCAAACATGCCTTGGGAGACTATTATTCATTAATCATATTCATCTTAAATATGGTTGCTTACTGGAAGTTTATTTTGTTTCATTTAATTGCTGTCCCAATGACAAATCTCCTGCACCTTTTATACATAATAAAAGGTCTTCAATGTGGTGCACATGGTGCTTTCTCATCTAATCTTATACACAGTAACATACTATGTAACTATTAGTTTTAGAATATTTACTTTGGATACACTATTTGTCGAGTTATAATTTTCATAAATTTCAATGTTTTACAAAATTTGTAACTGTGTGTCATCGAGGGAGGATAAATTTTTTGACTCTAGATGGCATCTCTTGATTATTAAGAAGGTTCTGCAGAGTGACTTTTGTTAAAGGTAAGGTAAAATTACACATTGCTTATAAGCTTGTAAGTAAAATTCTTAAAACCACAAAACCAAGAATTCAAGAAAATACAATTTTTACTCAATCCACAAAAATAAATAAATCTACATGTATGACGTCATTCCAACCCCCCTTATCTCTATGACGTCATGTCACATTAAACACATCTACGTGAGGTATATGTATATAATAAAGTGTATATGATATGGCTTTTTCAATATCACACACCGTATCCACCCTCAACCAATATAATCCCTCGAGCAGAGCTCTTGGGATTATATTGCTGTCTCGGGTTGATACAGGTGTGATATTGAAAAAGCCATATGATATTCTCTATTAATCTTCCTGCAAACTGTTTACAACCTTGTTAGTTAGCATGTTCACAATCATGCTCATAATAATTACAAATAAAATTCAGAATGGAAATGGGGAATGTGTCAAAGAGACAACAACCCGACCAAAGAGCAGAAAACAGCCAAAGGCCACCAATGGGTCTTCAATACAGCGAGAAAATCCCGTACCCGGAGGTGGGCTTCAGCTGGCCCCTTAACAAAAATGTGCACTAGTTCAATGAAATGGACGCAACATCAAACTCCAAAACATATAAATGAACTAACATAAAAAAACATACAAGTCTACCAAAGGCTTGAGGCTCCTGACTTGCGACAGGTGCAAACATGAGGCGGAGTCAAACATGCCTTGGGAGACTATTATTCATTAATCATATTCATCTTAAATATGGTTGCTTACTGGAAGTTTATTTTGTTTCATTTAATTGCTGTCCCAATGACAAATCTCCTGCACCTTTTATACATAATAAAAGGTCTTCAATGTGGTGCACATGGTGCTTTCTCATCTAATCTTATACACAGTAACATACTATGTAACTATTAGTTTTAGAATATTTACTTTGGATACACTATTTGTCGAGTTATAATTTTCATAAATTTCAATGTTTTACAAAATTTGTAACTGTGTGTCATCGAGGGAGGATAAATTTTTTGACTCTAGATGGCATCTCTTGATTATTAAGAAGGTTCTGCAGAGTGACTTTTGTTAAAGGTAAGGTAAAATTACACATTGCTTATAAGCTTGTAAGTAAAATTCTTAAAACCACAAAACCAAGAATTCAAGAAAATACAATTTTTACTCAATCCACAAAAATAAATAAATCTACATTCCTTCAAATTTCCCACATTAATCCTTATAAGATCTTCAATGATGAGTTAAGATCTTCATTTGCTTCTAAAATAATACAGTATGTATCTATTTGTTGTGCAATTTACATACCTCCAATTTCCGTAAAAATGTTTTTGCTCTCTTGAACTCTTGTGATGCCAATAAGCAGCCACATTCCACAGCTTGTTCTGGGAGTAAAAATCCTGCAAAATCACTAACTAAGTCTGGATAGTCTGATAGTAGTACATTTAGCTCTTGGTACAACTAAAAATAAAAATAATATGGGTGTTAGATTAACCAATAGTGAACACAAGTTCTATCACAAAATTCTAAATTTTGACTAACTTTGTTAAAGTATTAGGCCAAGAAAGTAGTACCTATTAATTCCTATTTGTTTTGATGATGACAAAAGCTAACATAAACCTTAGGTCAGATAATAACTAGAGAGTGTGGTTCTAATTGGCCATTTGGTTTCAGGGTGAAAATGAGAATGTTATTTACCATAAGATTCAATGTAATCTATATGGTATCATTGTCATTACTTATGAGAAGGCATCAGAATAAAATGAGATTCTTTATATAGATCAAATGAATAGATATAAGATGTGGTATGAGTGCCAATGAGACAACTCTCCATCCAAGTCAAAATTTGTATAAGTAAACCATTATAGGTCAAAAGTACGGCCTTCAACACAGAGCCTTGGCTCGCACGGAACAGTATGCTATAAAGGGCCCCAAAAATGACTAGTGTAAAACCATTCAAACAGGAAAACCAACGAGTCTACAAGGTTAGACCTTTAATTTTCAAAGGAAAAGAAATCTTAAAACTGACTCATCAGATTCAATAACCCTGATTTTCACCCAATTGATACAGTATTCATACCAAATCTGGTTCAAATTGGCCTTGCAATTCAACAGGAATTGACAAACATGATACAAATAAACAGCAGCAGGTTACTGAGTAATTGTAATAGTTCACAGAGGTACCATTCTTAAATCAATAAAGATTTATTAGCCTACGCTTACAGTCCAGTAATAATTGGGTTTCGCAAGACAGTAACAGATAACGGAAATCTTCATCAACCAAGGAACTAAGAACTAAAAGTTATCCGGTTTATACATAGTAACTTAATTGCACCAGAACTCATTGCAAATGTCAAATAAATAGTTACAAGAAGACATAGTGTGAATATAAGGATCCTTGAATAATTCATCGCATTTACCACATAGATGAACAACAGTTTTTGTATTGTGAACTAAACAACTCAAGGATTCTCACTAAATGTAATTTGCCTGTTTTCATAATTGAGGAAGTCTTAGATGTAACATAGAGCCAAATGAGCTAAAATCAGTTAAGAGACAAACATACTATGTCCAAATAAGTGAAAAATAAAACTAGAGGCTCTCAAGAGCCTGTGTCGCTCACCTGTATTTACTGATGCTTTGGAAATCATGTAAAATAAGGTTAAAATCATAATTAATAGTATTAGATATTAGATATTATAATGATATCTAAGATAATAACAAAAAACTGCAAAATTTTAGTAAAATTACTAACTCAGGGGCAGCAACCCAACAATGGGTTGTCGGATTCGTCTGAAAATTTCAGGGCAGATAAATCTAAATCTGATGAACATATTTGCCACCGTCAGATTTGCTCTAAATGCTTAAGTTTCAGAGATATAAACCAATCAAAGCACCAAAGGCGCTATAGGCAGTTAATTAAAAGAATCAAAGGTAAACTTGGCAGAAGTTAAGATGAATATAGTGGAAGAATGGATGAAAATATTTTTCTCTAATTCTTCGTCAATTTATCCCTTTCTGCACCCATTGTATAAAAAAAATTTAATCAACGTGTGGTTCATTTGATCTCAGTTCTTCATTGGTTAAAATCCGATTATGACGTCGAATTTACTTGCTTTCCTCTGAATTTCCTATTGTGACGGCATGAAAAAAGGCGACCATGCCTGATGACGTCACATAGAAAGAACACGTCTTTTTACAGATCATTCGAAAAGACGGAATAAGTTTGCCTGCATATTGTTTGAAAATCATAAGAGAAACAGATTCCACCACCAAATCTCGTGTAATACGATATTTATCCACTCTCGACAGTTAAATTTTAAATATTTAAAACGCTCGGCGAGCCTCGCGTTTTAAATTTGAAAATTTAACTGTCTCGAGTGGATAAATATCGTATCACACTCGATGCAGTGGTAGAATCTATATATCTCAGCTATTTCTCAAGTATCAAATAATGTTTGTACCGTAATGTTTCTGCTATCCAATCCTACCACTTTCAAAAGTTATTTCCAATTTATTTTTTAAAGATTTAATGTCTGAGATTATGCACATACACTGTCCCATGTTAGGGGAGAGTTTTGTGCCAGCTAACATGTTTAACCCGCCACATTCTGTATGTACCTGTCCATAGTGAGGACCCAGTAATTTGGTGATTGTTGATTGTTGCTGTATATCATATTTATTTTTCATAATTGTTTTGTACATAAATCAGGCTGCTTTAGTTTTATTGTTTTACATTTGTCATTTCGTGGTCGTTTATATCTTACTATGCAGTATAGGTTTTGCTAATTGTTGCAGGCTGCATGGAGGAATATTCTTTTCAGAATAATAATTTCAATTATGGTGTCCAACAGTGGTGTATGGTTTAATTCCACTATGTACTAGAGTTTGAATATGCCATATTAGCGCTTTTAGTTGGATCAACTGGTGCCACTATGCACAATTATCAAATCATACCTGAAACTATCTGAAATGGTGTAATTTTCTTGTATACTAGTATTACAAGAAATGCTGATGTTGTTATAATGGCCTAGCAATGATGCAACATATATTTTTGAAGGCTGTACGGTTGCCTGTAATTGCTTACATCCACTTCATTTGAATTTTGGTGGATAGTTGTCTCATTGGCAATCATACCACATCTCCTTATTTTTATAATAATTACACATGTCTAATCTATAATAAGCTATTAACACAACGTAATGTTTTGCCTATTTGTTATTTTGATAATGCAAATGTTACACTTAAAATAGTAATACTTTAACATGTAAGTGATATTCAAAGTCAATGAACCATGACTGAAGGTACAAGGCTAAACAATCTCTACGGAAATGAAAGGTGCCAATGCTTGTTCAACTGCAAACCAAATACCATTGACTTTTCATAAGTCGTTCCCTTTAAACAAACCTTAACACAAATTCAATTTCTAAGTCAATGAACCATAATGAGGGGGTGGGGTTATATTATATCCATGGAAATGAAACTTTTGAATACCAATGCGTTCGCATACCAAATAGCTTTGACTTAAGATTACTGGTAATTTTAAACTGACATAATCATAATAATCACAAACTCATTCATGTAAACTAAGTAAAAGTTTCAAAGTCAATAGATCATGCATATGACTGAGGGGTGAGGACCAAATATCCTCTATGGAAATGAGACGTACTAATGCTTCTACACCTACATGCCAATTATCATTGACCTACCACTATTGGTTTCCCTAATACTAACCTAATCGAAAACTAATAAATGAAATTTCAAAGTAACATAAGTTTCCAAGTAAAAAGAGCATGATTGAGGGGGCGGGGCCAAATAATCTCAATGGAAATTAAAAATGAAAAAGTTTATACAACTGCACACCAAATATCATTGACCTACCACTAGTGGTTCCCCCTAAACTGACCTAATCACAAACATATACATGTAAACTATGCAAAGTTTCAAAGTCAATAGACCATGACTAAGGGGGTGGGGCCAAATATTCTCTATGGTAATGAGATGTGCCTATGCTAACACAACTACTTACAAAATGTCATTGACCTACCAGAAACCAGACCTTATCACAAAATCACAAACTAATACATTGTTGATTCCGCCAAAACAGCATGCCTATATATATATATATGTCTCACTTTTTGACTCTGTCAAGGCAAGACAAAAATTGCAACAAATTTAATACAAATATTTTGTCCATCTTTTTAATATTCTTCATTTCTTAGATATATCAATGCTGCGCTCGCACATAATTCGAATTCGATTCACATTATTAACTGATTTGAATTAGTTTAATACGCATTCGAAACGTTTAATGTCCAAAAGTAAATTCTACTTGGAATTGCAATACACGTCAAAATCGCTTTACTGTGAATGCAGGGGTTAAAATTAACATTTGGTACTGGACAGTCCAGGACCTTTGACACTCCAAACTGAAAGGTCCACAACCTAAATTCCAGGTCCTGCTTTTACTTGAAATAGTTCATAACTCAGTAAGACAATTTAATGTGCTTTTGGTGTTAAGTTAGCTTGTTTCATTGTCAGTGTCACTGTCGTTTAACATGTTTAATAATAAATGTAATTGTCTTGTATATTAATTTATGAATTCAAATAATCTTTTTTTTTGTATTAGGAAGGCTGAGGGAGGCTGAGGGTATCACTGTGGGTGGGTGTGTTGTCTCAACAATTGATTATTTATTACTAATTATACCATTATATTAAACAGTTCAAATTCAAAACTGTTTAAGTGTATCATATCTAGTTGCACTATATATTATATTAGCTAGTTCCTCTGTGAAAATAAAGTAAGAAACTTCCAGATTTGTATAGGCCCTTCAAAATTGAGAAGAAATTACTTCATGGAATTGTAGTAATATGTTAAAACAATAAAAACATCTACATGTAATATCAATATTTATTAATGATAAGGAAAATACTGTCACATTTTATTGGTTTTTGACATGAAAATTTGTGAACTAAAAGTAATTTTGAGTTTCTGTATAAAATATTTCCTGCTTTTTCTTTCTTTTCTTCAATATATCTTTGGTTTTCAATTCTAGAGTTTATATTTCATCATGATAGATGTATTTTGTCTCATGCCTGGAATTATTATATTTTTATTGTATTTGATCGGCAAACCCGGAATTACCCTTATCCGCCAACGGAATTAGATCCGGTATTATAATTGTCTTCATTTCCGGTTTATGGCATCCATTGTTTTTCAATGTTGTTTTGTCAGTCAGATACGATTTACTCGGATTTACACATAACATGTTGGCGATTTTCGGTATAAAGCTAGCGGTTGAACAAAATGATTATTATCAGAAATCACCAAATTTAAAACGTCCTTGATTTACGTTTTGTCGATGAAGTTAAAATTACCGCCAACTGAGACTTCAACTCCGTGTCATATTAGTCACAGCCGTTATACAATATTCCTGCGCTTTGTGCCATTTGGCAACTGT